ACAGTAAGTATGTATGACTGTGACTGATATTTTAATTATAATATATTGCAAAAGTGAGATAACTGTGCGCACACTTGGATATAAAATTTTTTTTTGGTCTACCCTTAGGTAATATTACACACACACTTACAATTGACTTAAAATAAAAAAAATTAGCATTTTTTTGTTGTTGATGATTTAGTTTTTCAAAAATGTAAAAAAATATTTCATTTATTTAATTCTATTGATAACAGTATTTATAATAATAATAATAAATTGTTGTTCAATGTTACACAAAAAATAAACATTTATTGTTCAAAAAAAAAATAAAATAAATTTTCCATTTTATTTGAACAATAAAATAATGTTTTTTTTTATATCATAGTATGTATAGATAATTGATTATTATTTAATTTTTTCAAGTATTATATATTATAGTACTGTATGTCTATTATATATATATATATATACTGTGTATATATATCTTATTGTTTATACACAATAGAGACTACCCGCTATTATAACTAATAATATTATATCATAAATGTTTTTTTTTGTTGAAATTAATATTATATATACAAAATAAATGCTAAACAAATAAACAATAACTACTACTACAACAACAACAACAAACATTTTGATTTAAATATGTTATTTATTTTATATATAAAATAAAATTATTTTAAATATACAACAATAATAATAATAATGCATGTCAAATTATTTAAATTAACTGTCTATTAAATTTTGAAAGAGAGAGAGAGAGAGAGAGAGAGAGAGAGAGAGATTAAACTTTATTTAATGAGTTAACAACAAGTATTGAGACAACTATTATATATATATATATATAATAATAATATATATATATAAGGCATTTGAAAAAAATTAACAAAAGTGACCTAGAACTATATGTCAGTATAGATAACATAGAAAATATTATATATATTAAAAAAATTATATTTGTGTCGATCATGCAATCAATTTTGCCCATTAACCAAATAAATAATAATATTATTATTATAATTTTTTTTAAAATATATTTGTATATAACATAAATATGCATGCATGTATGTGCGTGTGTGTGTGTGAATGTGTGTGTATGTATGTATGTGTGTGTGTGTATGTGTGTGTATGTGTGTGTATGTGTGTGTATGTGTGTGTATGTGTGTGTATGTGTGTGTATGTGTGTGTATGTGTGTGTATGTGTGTATGTGTGTGTATGTGTGTGTATGTGTGTGTATGTGTGTGTATGTGTGTGTATGTGTGTGTATGTGTGTGTATGTGTGTGTATGTGTGTATGTCTATGTTTATGTGTAACATTTTAATACAATATGTGTGTTAACATTTCAAACACGAGATTAATTGAAAGTAATTTTTTTGGTTTTTTCAACATATTTTATATAGAAATAAATTATACAATTATTTTAACTTTGTAGACAAATATTTTTATTTAAATGTACATTGAACTTTTTTCTATATTGTATAAAGATATAATTATTATTTTTTTAATTTTATAATAAATTTTACTATTATATTTAAGTAAATAAAAAAATTGATATCTTTTTGTTAACTTAAACATTAATATTTTAAATAACTTAAAAATTTTATAAAATATAGTATTTTAATAATTATATTTTTTGTATGTCTATAACTTTAAATATAATTTAATTTAATTTTTAAAAATAAATTAAAATTAAATTATATTTAATATAATAATAATATTTATAAATAGAAATTATAGAAATAGTATAATTGATTTTAAGTAAAAAAATAATATTTAATTCAATATTACTGTTATTATTATTTTATTAAGTTAAAATACTATTAATATACTAATTAAAAAAATTGATACAAATATGTGAAACAAGTATTATTTTTTTGTTAACTTATATAAATGTTATTAAATTTTAGATATTAATGTATTATTTCACAAAATATATAATTAAATGCATTTTTTGTAACAGTTTTATGTAATTTCTCTCAGCAGTGATGTCTAAATACTCATACATTACTTAATAATTAATTTACAACAAAAAAAATAACAATTTTTTTCCACTCTAAAAGTGATAATAAATTAAATGAAATAATAATAATAATAATAAATGTCATTTTAAATCATTTATAAATAAATTTCAAATATATATTAGGCAATAGAGATAATATAAAGATTTAATTAAAACCGAAATTTTTGTGTGAAATAATGTTAATAATATTAATAGTAATAACACTAATACTGTTTTAATAAAGTATTAATAAATAAATATATAAAAAAAATAAGTAATTTTAATGAGACATATACTGTAGGAGAGAAACAAAATGATTTCATACATATTATTATTATTATTACTACTAATATATAAAAAAAATCTAAATCTATATAATAACGCAATACTAACTGTAAATACAGTCTAATTTTTTTTTATTAAATAAAAAACAGCTATTAAATTAAAAAATTCAAGTAATTTTTTTTGTGAGTATGGATTAAATTTTGTTATACAAACCGCATGAAAATTGGAGTCAATAATGAGATTTCCTTGACATACATGAGCCGCGAGTTAGTTAGTGATAGAGAGAGAGAGAGAGAGAGAGAGAGAGAGAGAGAGAGAGAGCACTGATAACTGATTTATATTTACCTAACAGTCCTCCCAAATAAATGCCATATAATTTAATCTCTCTCTCTCTCTCTCTCTCTCTCTCTCTCTCTCTCTCTCTCTTTCTCTCGTATTTTCCTTTATTACAAATATTTTACGAAGAGAGAGAGAGAGAGAGAGAGAGAGAGAGAGAGAGAGAGAGAGAGAGAGAGAGAGAGAGAGCTTAACAAAGAAACACAAAAAAAATTAAAATTCAATTTTGTTTTAAAAATAAAAACACAACTATATTAGTGTATATATAAAAATAATTTTATATATATATATATAAAATTATTACAATTAAAAGTTGAAAGAAAAACTATATAAATCTTTTTCTGTTTTGTTTGTTTGTCAGGGAAAGTACAGACAACTTATGTTATTATTGTATTAAATAAAAAATAAAATCTCTAAATTATAACAAAAAAAAAATGAAATCTTATTATAAGTATTATTATTATTTAAATATTTTTTTAAAAATATAATTGAATACATTTTATTTGAATGCAATTTATATAAACTATTTTTCTGAAAATAAATTAAATACATTTTATTTTGAATAAATTATTCAAATTTTTCAATATATATATATATTATCTATTAAATAATTTTACGCAATTTTTTTAATTATCAAAAAAATTATTAAATAATAATAATCTAATCAAATCTGATTTATATATAAATTATTTAAATTTAATTAACTAGTTATGTAACAAATTGTAAATATATACATATATATATATATAAATATTTGTTAAATTGTTTAATTTAATTTAATATAATCTTTTAAAATTATTGTTTCAACAAAAAAAACGTTAGTTTATTAATAGACATTTAGTTTGCTAATTATAAGTATATTAATATTATTTTTTTAATAATTATTATTAAAAAAAATAAAATTGTTGATATTGAATTTTTTGTCACTAAAATGCTAAAACAATTATTTTTTAATAATAATTATGAAAAAATATAACATTAAAATTTATTTTTTAATCAAATAAAAAGTTAAACTAAAATTAAAATATCATAATTAATATTTTTTTAATAAAAAATTGGCAAATAATGGCTATTTAAATGATAAAATTATTTGGAAAAAAATGCTCATTAAAAACAATATTTTTTGTTCACTAATACTATTATTATTACTTATAATAATTATTTTCTAAATATTTAAAAAAATATAATTATTAAAATTAAAAATCAAAAAATTAAATTATATTGGGGTTTTTTAAAACAATATAAACCATTTAGCAACTAAAATAAAATAATATGTTTAACAAGTAATAGTAATAATTTTTTGCTCCCGGGCATTGTATACTTTTTAAATTTTTAAAAAAAATAATAATATAATAGTCTATACATGAATATTTAGTATTTAAAAAAATTATATACAAAATAAAAGTTTTATCAAACAATACATGTCTATTTTGTATTTATTATTATTATTATTATTATTATTATTTGATAAACAATAAAGATATATATATTTTTTATTATTATATAAGTTTACTAAATGTATCATTTTTTTATTAAAAAAAATTAAAAAAAAACAATTTATCCATGTTTTGTGTTTTTAAAATAAGTGTTTCATATACTGTGAACTAACTGTATCTCATATATATATATACAGTATATTAATTTACAGTACAATTTAATACATTTTTTTAAAACAAAAATTTAAAATATATTATAAATGTATTATACATACAGGTTTTCTCAAACACACACACACGTAAATATATATTTTAATACACATATATACATATTAATTATATATATATTACAGTGAAAGTAAGTTAGTGAGTGAGTGAGTGAGTGATAGCATTGGACAACGCCTTGTAATTAAATATTAAAATCTCTCTCTCTCTCTCTCTCTCTCTTAATCTCTCTCTCACTCACACACTATCCTAATACTAAAACCCTCTCTATCTTTAAGTAGGAGAAAGAGAGAAAGAGAGAAAGAGAGAGAGAGAGAGAGAGAGAGAGAGAGAGAAACCACAAAATATTATTAAATGTTTTTATTTCATGTTATACTATAACAGTATTATTATTATTGAATATTCCTTGAAATTATAAAATTAAAAAAACTCTTGGTGCTCCCACTTAAATACAACATCATATTTATATATATATGTATGTGCCGGCCCCCTTATTTTATTAAATAGCCTACCTAAGCCATTGATGGGGGGTGGGGTGGGAGGATTATATCCAATTGAAAACACACACACACACACATAACTGGCAAATCCAATTGATAGCTATTTATTTTTTTTTTGTTTGTTAAATATTATTATTAATTTTTTTTTGTTTAATATATTTGGGCAAAAAAAATTGTTTTATACCTGTTTTAAGGGGCTAATCCCTAATATATATAAATTCATTGGCAATGAGAGTGAAACCATTCATTTATTAAGTAGTGCTGATAGAGGACAGTTGGCTTATTAATATAGTCTCCTTTCCTCCAATAAGTGAGTAATTTTTTGGGAGAGATTATATATATATTACTATTACTACTACTATTGGGACACCTGTTAACCTGTTGCTGGACATCACGTTTTATATATATATATATATATTTATTATTTAAATTCAATATTTAATTTTTTTTATACTAAAAAATATTTATTTTTCTGTTTTTTTTTATTTCATAAAAAACTTATATATTATTTGTTTCAACTGAAGATTTAATAATAATGAACTTCAAACTTATCGTAAGTTTTATTTTTTATATATTTTTTAAAATTTTAAATCTCTTAAGGTTTTGAATCTATCAATTATTATAATTGATAAATTATATATAAAAAAATTAATTTAAATTTAATTTAGTTAATTTTATTTTTTTAAAAAAATAATTATAAGCTTGCAATAAAATAATTAGGTAGTTTAAATTAGTTAAATAAATTGCTTATTTATATATATTATTGCTAAATATATATATATAACTACTTAATTATTCATTAATTATTCTAACGTTTATTTAATTAAGTTTTTTAATTAAAAAAATGTGTGGTTTTTTAAAAACCATTGTTTGCCTTAAATGAGTAAATAATTACCTCATTTTATGATAAATTTTTAAAAAAAATATTTTAAAAACGATAACAACATTTAATGTTTGTTTGATGTGCATACTATATAATTAAAATTTATTAAAATATTTTTTAAAAAAATAAAATTATTGTTATATACAGTAAACTCTCTGCTATAGTGTACACACATAACTACTATATGCATAGTAATTAACATTTACTTGTATATGGTGTACATTATAACGTGAGAGTCAATACAAATTGATTTAAATTATTTATATAAAAAAAATATTTTTTTATATATATTTTCAAAAAAAATTATTAGTACTAAAAAATTTTTTTTATTAGTAATCTTCACTTTTTTAAATAATAGTTTTGTCGATACATTGTAGAGAGAGTCTACTGTATATTATATCGTATAAAATTTATTTATTTTTGTTTTTTAATTAAAAAAAATAATATAAATATATAAGGTAAAATATTTTTTTATTTTAAAAAATAAATACACACAACACTAATAAATATTTAATAATAATAAGCAAAAGAAAAAAATAAATAATAATAATTGAACTTAAAATATAAGTCATACAAAAAAAATATATAACTTTCAAAATATACGGTTAAACTTATTATCCGTTTAACAGCAAAAAAAATATATTTACAAAATAAAGGAGTACTTGAAAGTCAACTTTTATTTTTCATTATTATTATTATTATTATTCATCATAACTGTATCAAACAACTACAATAAATACAAACTACCTGTCCCTCCCTGTTCTCCATTTAAAACCACTTTCTCTACTATAATATCCCAATTATAATCGATGATACACTGCAAACCCCAATCCCCCCCGACAAAAATAATAATAATATATATATGATATTATGATATATACGGTACACTCTCTCTATATATGTATGTATGTATGGTTTGATTGAATGTTATGTTTAATATATGGTGAAAAAAAATCTAGTTTTTAATTTATTATTATTTGATAAATACTACAAATGTTGAAAACAAAATTATTATACTATAGCTTATATAGAAATATAATTTATTATTATTGAATAATCAAATAACTATTAGCAATTCAGGTTTTTTAAAAAAAATATATAATATATATAGCTATTTAATAGTATACTTATATAGTAAATGTTAATTATAATTATTATAACTATACACTGTATACTATAATACTACTGTATATAAAATAAATGATAGTGTTATTGGAAACTATTCAAAAATAAAATAAAAAATAATTTAAAAGATTAAAAATTAAAACTTAATAATATTATTATATATTATATCTTTATCTATCAATACTAAACTATCGATTAAAAAAAATTGCATTGCCTAGGGGCAATTATAAAATATTGGCACTCAATGTAAATTTTTTTGTTGTTGCAAATTGCTTGTTATATTGAGAGCACCTTTATTATTATTTTTTATACTAGTTGAATATATTAATGAATAATTAGTTTAGTTATATATATATATATAAATATAAATTTATATTTTGTATAATATAGGAAGTTTTTTTTTAATATTAAATATTTATATATATATATAATATATATTTTACATTTTTATATTAATTTATATTTAATTTATTAAATGAATAATAAGTTAAAACAAATAAATTAAATAAATAATTTAGTTATTCAAAATAATATATATATATATATATATATATATAAATAAGTTACTTAGATAACAAAAACTTAAAATATTTATTTATAGATTTTATAGAAATTATAATACTAATTAAGCTAGGTCAATTTAAACTTTAAGCTAGTTTTAAAAGTTTTAATTAGTAAATAAAATAAATATAATTATCAATAAATAAAAACACTATACATTCAAAATAAATTAATAAACACTATATAACTGTTTATTAAACACTAGTAGTATTTTATATGATAATTATCAATAAAATACCTGTACTGTATATACAGTATATATATATATATACAGTATATGAATACATAGAGAGCAAGTGTGTGTGTGTGTGTGTGTGTGTGTGTGTGTGAGCACCTGTATGTAAATATAGTATAGAGTATATCAAACCGTATATATCACTAATATATATATCATAAAAAATATATATTATTATTATTTTTCAGTTGGTATTGTCGATGTCGGTGGCCATGGCCTGGGCCGCACCCAAGCCCTCCTGGGGGTACGGTATTAAAGGCGGTGCCCTACCGTATGCCGGCCATCACCAAACCTATACACACTCTGAATCGGTCGAAAAAGTTTTACGTCCATACGCCGTACCCCAACCGTACGCCGTCAATGTTGTCAAAACCGTACCCCAACCCTATGCCGTACCCGTAGTCAAACGTGTACCGACACCCTATCACGTCAGTGTACCCGTCCCCCGTGCCGTACACGTACCAGTTGTCAAACGTGTACCCCAGCCGTACACAGTGGTCAAACAAGTTGACCGCCAGGTACCCCAGCCCTATCACGTACCGATTGTTAAGGAATCAATCCGGGAGATCGTCCAAAAAGTTGAATATCCCGTCCCCCAGCCATACGAAGTTAAGGTACCCGTACCCAAACCGTACACCGTCATCAAAACCGTACGCCAGCCCGTTCATGTCAACGTACCCGTACCCCAACCCTACGAAGTTATCAAAGAGGTTGTACGCAAAGTACCCGTCCCGGTCGAAGTCAAAGTCCCGGTGCCCCAGGCTGTCGAAGTTAAATACCCAGTACCCCAACCGTACGAAGTTATCAAGGAAGTGGTCAAACAGGTACCCTATACTCGGGAAGTTGTCAAACGTGTTGAATACCCGGTACCGACACCTGTCGAAGTTATCCGCAAAGTTGAGGTCCCGGTTGAACGGGTCGTTGAAATCAAGGTTCCCTACGATGTTGTCAAACGTGTTGAATACCCGGTTCCCCAGCCATACGAACGTATTGTCGAAATCAAGGTACCGGTTGAACGTATTGTCGAAGTTAAGGTACCCTACGAAGTGATCAAACGTGTTGAGGTACCCGTCCCTCAACCGATTGAAAAAATAAAACACATCGATGTTGTCAAAGAGCGTATCAATCAGGTGTTTGTCGACAAACCCTATGAGGTCCCGGTTGTCAAAAAAGTTGTCCAACCCGTACAGGTTGTACACCAGGAACAGCAACACCTGGTTGAACAATACCCGGTTCAACAAGTCCAGGTACAGGAGCACCAGCAGCAAGTAATTGAACAGGGACCGGCAATTGTTGAGGAACAGTTGGCCTACGAGGGTGCCATCAAGGGTGGCGATCTGGCATACGGTGCCCGTATTAATGAATGGAAAAAGGGAAAGGCAGCCGCCAGCAAGGCTTAAATTAATTAATTAAATACAACTACACCAACAACAACAACAAATAGTAGGCCTACCCAACCAACCAACAAACCAACCCCCCTCTATCACTACAAAAAAAATACCGTCTACCTTTTTTTCAAAATCCCCCCCCCCAATTTCCCCTGTTCTACACAAACAAAAAATGGGTAGTCTATTATAATATACATAAAAAATGATGATGATACAGTTAAAAATGATAATAATAATAATAATAATGATAATGTTATTTAATAATTAATTTTATTATCTAATTATGTGTATAATATTTTTTTCAATGTGTTGTGTGTGTTATTATTGTTAAATATTTTTTTATATTATTATTTCACATATACATAGAAAACAAACAAACAGTAAATTGTACATGCTCAAAAAATTAATATTAACTAATTATTAATTTAATTATAGATATATAAAAAATGTTATTATATATTTTTTGCAATTAAATATTTAATAACAGTTTTTTATATTATATTTAACATTTAATTAATTAGTTAGGAATTATAATTTTTAATATTTAATATTTAACAATTAGAAAAATGTTTTTTTTTGAACATTTTTATTATTAGTTAAATATTTTTATAAATATTTTTAACATACACACATAATACACAACAACAACAACAACAACATAAAATTTTATAATTGTAAATTTTAAAATTAGTGTAAAATATTAATTTTGTTATTATTATTATTATTAATATACCATAAAACGTGTATAGTTTAAACAAACAATATTTAAATTAAAAATTTGAAATAATAATATTTTTTTTATATATATTTAATTATTAATTGTTGCTATTGTATTAGTTATTATTATTATTATTATTATTAATGATAATACTAAACAAAAATTTAATTGTTTTTTACATTTATGTCAAACAACAACAACATGCTATGCATAACAACAACAAAAAATTGATTGTTTATTGTTATTGATATATAAAATAAATTAAGGCAAACATTTAAAAAAAAACTATACATAAGTTTGTTTTGTATATTACTTTATTTTTTCTCTACCAATCCCTTATCTACCTGTCCTCTATTAAACACACACACACACACATAAATTTATACACATTAGATATATACACATAATTACTATTATGCACATAAAAATTGAAAAATAAAAAATATTATTTGCCTACACATTATGCCAAAAATTATTTTTTTAATATAGAATTTTTTTATTATTATTAATACTAATATTATTATTATTATTATTCTAATATTTGATTTTTTATTGTTAAATAACTGTTTAGTATTTTAGTTTTTTTTTAAATATTAATTTTATAATTTTTTTATACTAAAAAAACATTTTCGTTAACAATGTTAATATTGTTAGTAAATTAATAATTATTATTGAGAAAAAAAATAATTAAAATACGTGTATAAAAAATAAATTATTATTTTATTATTATTATTATTAATTACTAAAACTAAAATTTTGTTAACCATATAAAAACTTATTAATATAATTTTTTTATATATAAAATTTATTTATCTTTATAGTTGTATAAATCACTTTTACTGTTTTATTGTTTTATAATTTTGATTAATTTTATTTTATTTTAAACTCTATCTAAAAGTAAATTAATTATTTACTGTAAAAGTTGGGACACTTTCTCACCGACTAAATCATAGAATTTCTATAATAAATACAAAATATATTTTAAATTTTGATATATTGCTAATGTATTTGTTATAATAAAAAATTAATTATTTATTTTTTCACTACACTATTCCTATTATTTGAGTACATAAATCAAAATTATTATTTTTTTTGTTGAATAGTTGATTATTTATTATTATTATTATTATTAAGTTTTTTATATAACTGGAGCAAAATATTTAAATTTTAAATTTATTACTTTTTGTTTTTTTAATTTATTATTCATGTCTATAAAATTTATTATATTTTTTCTCAAACTTTAACTATAGTTTTTAAGTTTAAGTAATTTTAATATAATAGTTAATTATAAAAAAAAATATTTTTAATTTAATAAAATGATGACAATGTTATCAATATAATCATTAATTAATAATATTAAAGTTAACATTACTATTATTATTATTATTTTTACTAAAACTTTCTAACATTTTATTACTATTTTGACCCAATTTTTTAGTAAATACAACCACAAAAAAAACATTAAAACTAATAAAATTAAGATTTAAATATTTTTATGAAAGTGATAATCAAAAATAATTAAATTGACATTCAATTTAAATCAAAATAACAATTTTATTATTATTTTATTTTAATTAAATATTTTGTTAAACAAAAAAAACAAAATAAAATAAATGTTAGAAAATAAAAACAATTTTTTAAAAAAATCATTTAATCTAATTATTGTACAGAAAGTAACAAACAGTTTTAATCACTTGTTTTTAATTTTAATAATAATAATAATTGACTATTATTTTAAAATTATTTAATCAATTGCTTAAATCAAATTGTAGTTCAATAATAATAATAATAATAATAATAATAATAATAATAAACTTAATTTAGTTAATTAAAAAAATTATTTATTATTTATTTAATAGTAAATATTTATATATAACTTATTATCTATTTTTTAATTATTAAATTAACAATTAATTAATTAAATTTATTTTTTATATTTACAACAATAACAACAATAAATTAGTTGGTCTTAGCTTTGGCATCGGTAGCCCAGTCGGCACCGAAACCCAAACCGTCGTACCTGAATCTCGATGGACACGCCTACTCGCGCGGTTACATTGGCGGCTACGGTACCTACGGTGGCGGCTACAGTGGCGGCTACGGTGGCGGTGCCATCAAAGGTTACGCCTCCTCAGGCCCAGCCTATGGTCAGGTCCAATACGGTCAACTGGCTGTTGCCAACACCCATACCCATACCGTACGTCAAGTACAAGTCCCGGTTGCCGTACCCAAACCCTATGCCGTACCAGTTGTCAAAACTGTTGCCCAACCATACGCTGTACCGGTAGTCAAACATGTGGCCGAACCGTACGCTGTCAAAGTTCCCGTCGATCAGCCCTACGCTGTACCAGTGGTCAAACATGTAGCCGAACCCTACCCGGTCTACAAGACTGTCGTACGTGATGTCCCCGCACCCTATCCGGTACACGTTGTCAAAAATGTTGTACGCGACGTTGTCCGTCAGGTTAAGGTCCCGGTGCCCCAGCCCTACGCTGTCAAAGTCCCCGTCGATCAGCCCTACCCGGTCGAAAAAATTGTTGTCCAAAAATACGAAGTCAAAGTACCGGTAGCCCAGCCCTATCCGGTCGAGCGTATTGTCGAGCGTGTAGTGAAAGTCCCCTACGAAGTTAAGGTACCGTATCCGCAACCCTACGAAGTCAAGGTCCCGGTTCCGCAACCCTATCCCGTTGAACGTGTTGTCGTCAAGGAAGTACCGGTCGAAAACATTGTTGAACGTATCGAAAAAGTCCCGGTCCCTCAGCCATACAATGTCGAAAAGATTGTCAAAGTCCCGGTCGAAGTTGTCAGGGAAGTCAAAATCCCGGTCCCGGTTGAACGTATCGAAAAGGTACCGGTTGCCCAACCCTACGAAGTGATCAAAGAGGTCAAAGTTCCCTACGAAGTGGTACGTAAAGTCGAAATCCGAGTCCCCGTCGAAAAGATAGTCGAAGTACCGGTTCCTCAGCCGTACGAAGTTATCAAAGAGGTCCCCGTTGTGCGGGAAGTGGTCAGAAATGTCTATGTTGATCGTCCCGTTGCCGTACCAGTTGTACGCAAAGTTGTCGAACAGGTACCGGTCGGTGTCAAAACCTACCAACCCGTTGTCCAGGAGCACATTACCCAGGAGCACCTGGACTATGGACGTAAGGCTGCCAGCAGTAAGGCCTAAAAAATTAGTATAGGGAAGCTCCGGGAGTTTTTTAGGGAGCAAACACTACAATGTGTTTTGTTGTTTGATGTATTTGTTTTGTTAGTATTATTATTGATGTTGTATATAATATTAATTAATACCAACCAACCCCCCCCCCTCTAAAAAAAATAAACTAAATTATATACACTAGGGACAATTAAATTTGTTGTTATTTTTTTATATAAAAATTATTATTGATTTTTTCCACCCCCCCCCCTCTCCACACAGACTGTTTTTTTTATATAAATATTATTATTATTATTACAATTATTATGTGCCTTATTATTATTACAGCAACTTTTTTTCACCCCTTCCCCCTTTTTAATAAAAAATTAATTTTAATTAATTAATTTTAATTAATTAAATGACTATACACTGTATACACTCAAATTAAAAATTTGTTTTTTTATTTTGTTGTGTGTAAATAATGTAAAATTTATTATTATTATTATTAATTGTTAAATTATAACTGCATTAATATGTAAAATTAAATTAAATTATTATTTTGATTCAGTTAAATAATTATAAATTATTTTTTTTAATATCCCGCACCCACGCACATAAGTGTCATCCCTTTTTTTTAAAAAAAATAAATTTTAAAATAAATTGTAATTAAATTTTAATTAATAAATGATATAAATATTTTTATTGTCCCATCAATAATTATATGTTAAGATATTTTTTAAAATAATAATAATAAAATCATTTTGCTGTAAATCTAAATTTCAACTATTTTTTAAAAAATAAAAAATTTATGTATAAATAAATATTTTTTGAATGTAGAAATAATTAATACTATTATATTAAGATTTTTTTTTGTTAATTAGGGGATTAAATGAAAAAAAACAAATAATTGTTAGTTTTTTGAGTCAATCTGAAAAAAACAATTTTTATGTTTTCATATATGTATTTAATTTTATTATTAATAAATTACAGCTTTTTGCTAATTAAAAGTTTAGTATTAAATTGTAATAATTTTTACAAATAAATTAATTAAACTTTATATTTTTTATGATAATTATTTAAGATAGACTGAAAAAATAAATTGATTGTTATTTTTTTATATTTTAGTTCAATCAATTTGTCCTAAACTAATAGCAAAATATAAAAATTGTAAAATATAGTTTAAATAAGATATACAAATCATAGTACAGTTTATGAAAATATATATATATCATATAGTTATAAATAATTTTTTTATTAAATTAATAATAATAAAAATAAATAATTTTTAAATATTAAATATTTTTAAAAAATAATCGCTTAGATAACATAATCAATTAAATGATCATTGAACAAAATAACAAAACAACAACAACAAAATTGTAAAATAATAATAATTACTAATTAATTATAATTTTTTGAAATATTAATAAATTTGATATTGTATTTAATATTAAAACTCATTTTAATGATTCATTCAAGTGTAATTGGTCAAGGTGATAAATTATAATTTATAAGTAATATCTTATTTTTATTAAAAAAAAATAATATAAATCTCAACCTTTTCACTACTAATATATATTTTATCATTTAAATTAATTTATGGAAATATTTTGAATTAAATACAGTTTAAATATTTTTTGTACATATAATAAAACTTGTGTAAAATATGTTAATAAAAGTTAACTTTTTATTTTATATCACACCTAATATATTAAATATTATATTAATATAAACTATAGTATTTTTTTATAGACTATTTTACATAATTTAATATTACATTTTATATTAATATATAGTAATCATATATAATATATTATCAATATAAGTAATATCTTATTTTTATTAAATATTATTAGAAATTTTTTATTTTTTAAAAATTTAAAAAAATAATAAATGCGTTCATTTTTATTAGCTATTATTAAATATTATATCATTTATTAATTTATAGAAATATAATATTTAGAATTAAATACAGTTTTAATGTTTTGTTGAATATAATAAAACAAATTAAATATTTAAAATTTTAATAAAAAAATAAAAAAACTTAAATTTCTATTTCATATCTAATCTTTTAAATATTATATTAATGTATATATATTTTTTAATAAAATATTTACATTTACAGCCATTTTTTTATAAAAAATAACATAATTAAATTGTTCAACAAATATATTAATAAACTTAATTTATTAATTTTAATTTAATAGTAGTAGTATATTATTTTATTTAAAATTATAATTTAGTTTAAACTGTGTAAACATTTAGCTAATAAAAAAATATATAACATATTTTATATTGTATTTTATTACTTACAAATAGTTACAAAAATAATTATACAATTTTTGTTTAGTTTTTTATAAATAAAATATTACTTTAATAGACATTACGGGAGATTAGTATGACTTATAATAGCGCCGATAGTAAAGCCAGGATAATGATAGCCAGTATCCATAATATAAGTAATTAATGAGTCGCTTATATGATAGATAACTGGGTAATAGCTAACTGGTCGATAGCTAACCTTCCCATAGAAATAGCCATATATTTTGTCTTAAACCATGGATGGACCATAGATACCTGAGCCATTTGTGTCGGCTACCATAGTATTCATCATATTTTCTACTACCAACCCTACTTGTATGTGAATATGTGCATGATACAATCTATACAACTAGTATCTATAATTGGTAAAAAATAATTTATTTAAAAAAAATAATTTAATTTTTACTTTAAATTATTTACAAAATAAAATGAGAGTTTAATATTTGTTTTTAATAACTAAATAATATTATATTTTTTTCATTGATAAACTGTAAATAATTTTGTATATTTTAATAAATTAATATTATAATAACAATATTATTATTTATAGATTTATTTACATAATATGATATTACATTTTATATAATATATACATACAGTATATTAATCATATCTTATATATTTAAAGTAATATTTTATTTTTATTAAATATTATTAAATTTATTATTTTTGTCAAATTTAAAAAATATAAATGCGTCCATTTTATGTTGGCTATTATTATATATTATATTATTTATTAAATTATAGAAATATAATATTTTGAATTAAATACAGTCTTAAATGTTTTGTACATATATAATATAAAACTTAAATATGTAAAATATTAATAAAATTTTTTTTAAAAAACTTAAATATCTATTTCATATCACACCTAATATATTAAATATTATATTAAAATACTATGTATACTACTATATATGTTAAAATATTTATATTTACCTTTTTTTAAAAAAATAGTAAAAACATAGTTTAATTGTTCAACAAATACTGTATTTTAATATCAATAATCAATATTTTTTTTGTTTAATAACTAATAATAATAATAGCAGCAGTAGTAGTAGTAGTATTTTATTTTTAGTAAAATTATAATTTAGTCTAAACTGTAAATTTCTAGATATTTAAAAAAAATAAAATATATTTTATATTCTATATAATTATTTATTAGTAGAAAATATTATACTATTTATTTTTACATTATTTTCAACAACAAAAAAATTATTTTAAATTTAGAGTTTAGAAATATTATTGAACTATTGAAATATATATAACTAATAATATTACTTAAATATACTATATTTTGACTTTATATAATTGTAATTGTAATTTACAGTTTTTTATATATAAAATAATTAGAAACTAAATTTTATTATTATTATTTTTAAAAGATAATAATTTTAGATAAATTATTAATAACTTTGTTGCAATTTTTAAAAATATATATATATATATAGGAATATACTAAACATTAATTTATTAATTGTAAAAATAATTTTTATATTAAAAAATAATCTAAATTATATATTTATATTTAATTATTAAATATCTAGATAAGGAATATAAAATTATAAAATTTAGTTATTTAAAAAATTTTTTTTAATTAACCATGATTGTAATAATTATATACATAATAATTGTTTAATTTAAATATTTAAAAAAAATTGCCATGTTTTCGGCCACTAATTATTTTAATTATTATTTAAATATTTAAGTTTATTTAGACACTATAATTTAAGTTACAGTTTTTTTTAAAAATATATTTTTTATAGTTATATAAATTATTAATATCTAATAGTAATTTTTTTAATGATATGTTTTATAATAGCCTATAGATAATGGATAGCCTGTATGTCTATAGCTAGCTAACTGGGTAATAGGTTAACCGCTACAATAATATCTGACTCCCCTCCCCATTGTTACGGCTATCATAATAGTATTTACTGTATTTTTTACCCCCCCCCCCTTCACCCCACCTCCCTCCGATTTGAATAACAAATTGATATAAATAATATATATTAAAAAATCAGTTTATTGTTATTTTTTTATAAAAAAAAAGTTATTTTAAATTAAGAATTTTTTTTATTAAACATTTAGACTAATAATATTACTTAAATATACTATTTTTAACTTTATATTATTGTATAAAAAATTTACAGTTTTAAAAAACAAAATTAGAATTTTTTTTATAATTATAACTAAAAATTTGTTGTTGTTATCACTTAAATTTTATTATTTTTAAAAATAATAATTTGAAATTATTAATAACTTTGTCGAAAAATATTTTTATTTTTAGTGTATTTTAATGTTTGATTTTAAATAATTAAATTATTAGTTTTTTATATAAGTTATTATAAATTAAATAAGTTAGTATAGCTAACTGGGTAATATTTAACCGATCAATAATATCAGGTTATAACCCGTAATAATAATTGACATTTATTTGATTAAACTATGTCTACCATTACATACCTACCGGTCGATAATAACGGTTGTAATTGTTTTTATTAATATAAACTGTAAAAAAATTTAAACTTAAATTTCTATTTCATATCATCTAATATTATTTTAAAAAATATTATATTATATATTTTTAATAAAATATTTACATTTAAAAAAAATTATTATTAAATTGTTCAACAAATATATTAATAAAACAAATCATTAATTTTTAGTTTAATAAGTAGTAGTAGTAATAGTAGTATATTATTTTATTTAAAATTATAATTTTGTTTAATTTTGTGTAAACATTTAGCTAATTAAAAAAAATATATAAAATATTTTTATATTATATATTATTACTTACAAATAGTTGAAAAATAATTATACTATGATTTTGTTTTTTAAAAAAAAAAATATTACTTTAATAGACATTACTATATTTTCGGGGGGGGGGTAGGGGGTTAGTATGACTTATAATAGCGCCGATAGTATAGCCCGGGATAATGATAGCCCGTATGTCCCATAGTATGAGCTACTAATGAGTTGCTTATATGATAGATAACTGGGTAA